TGTGTGCCTGGCCAATGGGAGGGGGGAACTCCTGTGTGCCTGGCCAAGGGGGGGCATTAATCCCACAGCATCCGGCACAGGCAATATCTGGCCGTCCCTGGCGCACTCTGAGGGGAAGAGCCCCCCCTCCCCAGCCGACTCTGGGACTCAGGTGGGGCGGGAATCCCGTGCCTGGCAAACTCCGGGCCTGGGGGAAACTCCCTGTCCTTGGGGTGAAGCATAAACACTCCCCGTCCGGCAGACCCAGGGAGGACCTGCAGGAAGCTCTGGATCCGGCCACCAAACTGATCCTTCCCCTTCCCACACAGCCCTGCCCCAGGCTGGCACGCCCATGGCCTCAGGGCCCCCAGGTTCTGGCCCATTTACAAACCCTGCTGTCTCCACCTGGCTTCCCTCTCTCCCTAGTTTGTCACTCACAAATCTTTGGGAGCATTTCTCCCCCTCCCCCCCTCCCTGCACACTCAGGGACAGGACACGAGCCCCCAGCCCCTACCCCCACCCCTCATGGTGGGGTTCCTCTCCCATCAACTGCCACAGGCCCGGCCAACTCCCCCTCTCAAAGCAAAGGGGCTGTCCCCCTTCCCCCTGCGTAACATGCTTCCCCAGCGATGTCCACCAGCCCCCCCAGGAACAGGCCACCCCACAAAGACTGCAGCCACCTAACTCACCCGCACTGCTGGGATCTCAGGCTGCCTCCTCCAGCTCAGGGATGTCAGTGGCACAGCGGAATTGCCCCTAAGGCTACGGCTGAATGGCAATAAAAGGCCCGCAGCAGCGAGTCGCAGAGCCCAGGTCAACTGACTCAGGCTCACCGAGCTCGGGCTGCGGGGCTAAAACTAGCAGTGGAGACGTTCAGGCTCGGGCTGAAGCCTGGACTCTGAGACCCTCCCCCCTCGCCGGGTTTCAGAGCCCGGGCTCCAGGCTGAGCCCGAACGTCTACACGGCCCAGATGTTTGTGTGCTAGAAAATCTGTGGAAAGCGAACACAAAATGGACACAAGGTTCACGGTGACTAGCTACTCAACACAATGAATATTAACAACCAGGGGGAAGGAACGCAAGCCGAAACAGGGAAAGAACAGGTTAAAGAATATTTGGATAAGTGAGATGCATTCAAGTTGGCAGGACCTGATGAAACCATTAGTCGAAACCATTTCAGAACTGACGAAGCGTCTGATGAAGTGGGCATTCACCCACGAAAGCTTATGCTCCAATACATCTGTTAGTCTTAAAGGTGCCACAGGACCCTCTGTTGCTTTTTACAGATCCAGACTAACATGGCTACCCCTCTGATACATTTCAGAACTGTTAGCAACTCTCTTGGAGAACTCCTGGAGGAGAGGTGAGGTCTCAGAGGACTGGAAAAGGGCAGACATAGCACCTACCTTTCAAAAGGGGAACAGAAAGGGGAACAAAGTGGACCAGGGAATCAGAGACCTGTCAGCCAAATTTCGAGACTGGAACAAATGATTAAACAATCAGTTTGTAAGCACATGGAGGATAACAGAGTTATAAGGAATAGCCAGCATGGATTTATCAAGAACAAATCATGCCAAACCAACCGAATTTCCTTCTTTGACAGTGTTACTGGCCTAGTGGAGGGGGGAAGCAGTAGATGTGATATACCTTGATGTTAGTAAGGCTTTTGACACAGTCCTACTTGACATTCTCATAGGCAAACTAGGGAAATGTGATCTAGATGAAATGACTATAAGGTGGGTGCACAACTGGTTAAAAGGCTGTGCTCAAAGAGCAGTTATCAATGACTCACTGTTAAACTGAGAGGGGGGGATCTAGTGCGGTCCCACAGGAGTTCCACAGTGGATCTGGTGCTATTCAATATTGTCATTCATGACTTGGATAATGGAGTGGAGAGTATATAAAATATCAAATATACAGATGACACCAAGCTGGGAGGGGTTGCAAGCACTTTGGAGAATTCAAAACTGGCCTCGATAAATTGGAGAATTGGTCTGAATTCAACAAGATGAAATTCAATACAGACAAGTGGAAAGTTCTTCATTTAGGAAAAATCAAAAGCACAGCTATAAAATGGGGAACAACTGGCGAGGTGAGAAGGAGCTGGAGGTTACAGGGGATCACACATTGAATATACGTCAACAATGGGACACAGCTGCAAAAAGGCTAATATCATTCTGGGGTGTATTAACAGGAGTGTCATAGGTAACACACAGGAGGTCATTGTCCCATTCGGCTCGGCACAGGGGAGGCCTCAGCTGGAGCACTGTGTGCAATTCTGGGTCCCACACTTTAGGAAAGATGTGGACAAATAGGAGAGTCAAGAGGAGAGCAACAAAAATGATAAAAGGTTTAGAAACCTGCCCTATGAGGAAAGGTTAAAAGCATTGGACATGTTTAGTCTTGAGATAATAAGACTGACGGGGGGGGACCTGATAACAGTCTTCAGATGTGTTAAGGGCTGTTCTAAAGAGGACGGTGTTCCGTTGTTCTCTGTGCCCGCTGAAGGTAGGACAAGAAGTCAGGGGTTTAATCTGCAGCAAGGGAGATTTAGGTTTGATATTAGGAAAATCTTTCTAACTATAAGCTCTGCTGTGGGCATCCAAGGGGGGTTGTGGAAGCCCCGTCACTGGTGGGTTTTGGACAAACACCTGTCAGGGATGGTCCTGCCACAGCGCCGCTGGGGACTGGACTTGATGACTTCCCGAGGTCCCTTCAAGCCCGACATTCCTAGGATTATAAACCAACAGCCTGGGAAGTAAGGCAAAAAGCAAATGAACTGGTAACTGGTTCCAATTCTTTTTTCAACTTTCTTTTAATTGATATTCAGGCAACTGCCAACAATGAACAAAGTGCCAGCAGGGAGTGGCTCAGACCTGATGTACAATCCTGGGTGAAAACAGGCACCCCTCATATAAGAGAGAGAAACATGCACCTGTTCTCACTGCCCTGGTGGTGTGGACAGGATTAAGACCCCCCTCTCCTGTATTGCGAGATGACTGTATTCATATTATACATTTGGACTGGGGTCAAAACACGCCTCTATACCAGGTAACCTTGGTGCAGGGCAATGGGAAAACCCAGCCACCACGCAAGAGTAAACAGAGGAAATGTTAGAGATAGTCTGTAAAATCAACTGGGAAGAAACAGCCATTGAAATACCAGAGGCTGTCAGCTCTGGAATACCGTTCTCAGCTCAGACCCCTGCAGCACCCACACCATGCCCAAGACGATCTGTCGCTGAGAGTCCTGGCTGACACGGGCCCTTCCCCCACATCCCCAGAACCACTTTTGGATTGACCCACAGAATGGGCATCTACCTATATCCCCCATCTCCCATCTCCCCTCCCAACTCCCGCTATTGTTCCATGCCTTTTCAGAGTAGAAAAGGCAAACGCCCCAGTACATCCTGGACTGATATTCCCCGTAACCGCCCTGTACTGAACTACAAGCTATAAACTTCTAACACACAAAGAAACTGTCAAAAGGCCCTCATGCAGTCAGTGCTCCCCGGTCGGCTGCAGAAAGGATCGGGCCATGCAGGCTCTGCCTTCCCAGGACTCCCTGCGGTGCTGGAGGCTGTCCCGTTTCTAGGGGCTGAGCCATGGGTGGGTTGCCTGGTGTCGCACCAGAGCGTGCTTGAGCCGGAAGCTTTTCCCACATTCGAGACAGAGGTGGGGCCTCTCGCCCGTGTGGATGCTCTGATGTCTGTTCAAATCCTTCTTCTGCTGGAAGCTCTTCTCACAGTGGCTGCAGGCAAAGGGGCTTTCTCCCGTGTGGATCCTCCCGTGTCGCAGAAGATCCTGCCTCTTGCGGAAGCCTTTCCCGCACTCCTTGCAGGTGTGGGGCCTGGCGCCCGTGTGCACCTTCCGGTGGGCGTTGAGGTTCGACACGTGGCTGAAGCATTTCCCGCACTCAGTGCAGGGGTAGGGTCGCTCTCCCGTGTGGGTGCGCTGGTGCTTTCGGAGGTCTTGGCTCTGCTTGAAGCGTTTCTCACAGGTGCCGCAGGGGTAGGGCCTCTCCGCCGCATGGGTTCTCTGGTGGGCGGCGAGATGCGCCAGCTGGCTAAATCCCTTCTCGCACTGGGAGCACACGAAGGGTCTCTCTCCTGTGTGGGTTCTCTGGTGGCTCATAAGGTCCTGTCTCAGGCAGAAGCTTTTCCCGCAGTCCATGCAGGGAAAGGGCCGATCCCCCGAGTGCGTCTTCTGGTGTCTCGTAAGCCCTGCCATTTGGCTGAAGCTTCTCCTGCAGTCCAGGCAGCTGTAGAATCTGTCTCCGGTATGGACTCCCTGATGTCTGGCCAGATCCTTCTTCCGCAGGAAGGTTTTCCCACATTCCCAACATTCATGCGACTTCTTCTGACCATGAAACCTGCCCCGGCTTTGGAAGATCTTCCCCTTCAAGCTCTGCTCACAGGCCAAGCAGCTGGGCACCTTCCCACGGGCCTTGGCTCCCACCTCTGAAGAGGACACCGCGTGCTTCCTGGAGCCCGTTTCACTCTCCCTTGGACTGTCCGGCTCCTTCTCTGCTGGGATTCTCTTGGGGGTTTGCAACTTGCGCCGTCTCTTGTAGGTTCTTCCTTGGCTTGAGCTCTGGAAAACTGTCTCTTCACCATCTCCTGGTGGCATTGTTTGCAGATCCGGGGTCTCAGGCCCCTCCTCCGGGTGCTGCTTCTCAGCTCCGTTCATGTCCCCTCTGCTGTATTTCCCAGAGGCGGTTTTCTCTCACCCCCCCCCCTCCTTTTTCACCTAAGCAGGATGGGAACCCAACAAGACAGCGTGAGCCAAACTCCCAAAGCCAATGCAAGAGGGAGAAAATTCTTCTAATAAAAAGGGTTTAAAAACCACCAACACAACCACCTGGAAGTGACCTCCTGGGTAGCTGGGTGGGAGACAGCGGGCAACAGAAACTAGGGGACCCCTTCCATTGCAAGGGCGTCAGGGCACTTTGCAATAGAATGGAAGGCTCAGAATCTGGGCTGGGCAAAGTAAGCAGAAGACTGCTGGGGTGCGGTGAGACAGCTGGAGACCCAGCTGCACCAGCCCAGCGGAGGCCGGGTTCTTCCTATCCCTCGACCCCATGGGGAAGGATACCTTGGAAATTCTAGTAATAAAATCCGGAGTAACAACAATCGGTGCTCACCCAGGGCTGGGGAGCTGGGCACTAGTTTGAAGAGAACAGATTTAAATGTCCCAGGACAGCAGCACGACAGACCCTGCTGCACAGTTTGACTCACCTGGATCTCGCAGCAGACAACCCAAGGAAAGACTTAAGGACCCAGAAACACTAAGGGGAAATCAGAGGTTTGCAGAGCGCCCTGGGAGTTACCAAGTTGGAACAGGAATCTGGAAAGAAAAAGGCTCTGGTAAGACAAATACTTCATCTGACCTTCCTGCCCCTTCGCACCATAGCCCAAACCCCGGGAGGGACTGCAGGCTCAGAGGGGAGCCTTCCTGCTCACAAGGTGTGGAAAGCTGCTGCATTTGAGGGAGAAGATCTCCTGCCGGGCTGGAGAAATGAACAGAGTGGGGGGCTAAGCAGGTAACTTACCCATAATTTCACTAGTATGATGAAGCTCCAGAATTCAGCCCAAGAAAAGAGACTTAGGCTACGTCCTCACTACGGGGGGGGGGGGGGGGGCGATTTAAGATACCCAATAGCGTAGCTGAATGCGATGTATCGGAGCCGACTTACCCCGCTTTGAGGACGGCGGCAAATTGACCTCCGCGGCTCCCCCGTCGATGGCGCTTACTCCTACCTCTGCTGGTGGAGTAGAAGCGTCGATTCGGGGATCGATTGTCGCGTCCCAACGAGACGCGATAATTCGATCCCCGAGAGATCGATTTCTACCCGCCGATTCAGGCGGGTAGTGTAGACCTGCCCTGAGTTAGCCAGACTGGGGGAAAGCCCGTGTCTTGGGATTTGGGACCAACCACCAATCAGAACCAGGCAGAGCCAAGCCAAGAGCAAGGAGGGGGAAAGAGAAAGTCTGTGTAACCGGCATATCCAAATGACAGCACAGACACCCAGAATACACTGGCAATGAGCCAGTCAAAGGCACCTCAGTAGGTATAGGACTCATCAGGGAACACATTTAGAGCAGAGAGGGGTGCATCTGTGAGCTCAGTTAATGACAGGACATCCCCGAGTAACAGGAAATTGCTGGTGAATTGGGAGGGCCCAGCATGGTAGGAATGATTAGCGACTGACAGGAAGACAGGAAAGTACAAGGCTCCCTGAAGGTGCCCAGCAGAGGCTGTGACGTTATCAATGTAATATCCAGATGTACAGTACCTTCCCTCTTAACTTGTGTATATTTAATTTTAAACATTAACTTTAATAAAAAATTTAAATCTGTTCTTATCACTTTAATATCTCATTGAAAGGTGACAGGGCCAGAAAGAGTTAATTAACTCACAGACTGTCCTGACCCATGGCCGAACTTCAGAGACTGGTTAGGAAGATGTGTAAATGAATAGAGCTGTGAAATGCAAGTCTGCATTGTTAGAGATCGAAGGGGAGGTGTTTGCTCAGGGCTTGTGATGTAAGCAAACAAGTCTTGTCTATTACTATAGCTTTGATTCAAAGATCAAAGAAGGAATATTAACATTTATGATGATACTTGAGTGAAATAGTATTATTGTCTCTATGTCTCTTTGAAGGTTGTGGTAACCTGTATCTGAACTGTTTAATGGATAAATTACCCTGTGCTATTTGCCAGGATGTTTGGGAGAAGGAGAGTTAAGCCTATTGTTTTCTCAGGCCGAAAGGCTGCTGGAAATGTATAAGAACCCTGGGACACGATCCTGCTTCATCTCAGATCTGCTTTGGATTTCAAGAGGGGGAAACCTTAAGCCATAAGGATTGAGATCCCCAGTCACTGACTGGAGTCACCCTGAATATGGACATTGGACTATAACCTCTGGACTATTTCTGAAAGGACTTTTGGCAACTACAAGCTCATCTCTGCTATGTATCTGAACTTCAAGAATTGAATTCAAGTCTGTCTGTATATTGATCTTTTAAGCAGATTTTTGACAAAAAAGCCTGTTAAACTTTTCCCTGGCAGTCATAGGCGTGGATCTAGGGGTGCTGGAGGTTCTGCCGCACCCCCTGGCTGGAAGTGGTTTCCATCATAGTCCGGGTTTACAGTTTGGTTCTATGGCTCTCAGCACCCCCACTATATAAATTGTTCCAGCCCCTGCCCGCAGTCCCAAACCGCCTCCCGCTCCTTGTGGGATGCCAAAAGTTTCTGCTGTCCTGACAACTGCCAAAACCTCCTACTGCCTCCCCCCAAATGCTACCGCGCTGCTCTGCGCTGCATGGGCGAAACTGGCCGTGGGAGCATAAGACAACTGGGATTCACTCTCCCGGGACGTCCCCGGGGGCTGTTGCACCGACTGCACGAGCCACGGCCAGATTTCATCCCACAGAAACTCTCGGGGGTTCGTTTCCCTAAAGCTGCTGACTTGCTTCCAGCCCAGAATCCGGGGCCTGGGCAGCAGAAGTGAGCTCCTGTGTGACCCAGAGCAAACAGGTCCAGTCTACAGTGATTTAAACAGGCCAAGCCATTCGGCAGTTGCTTACATCAGCAGGTCAGTGAACTGAAAACTTTCAAACTATCCCTAGAGAACCTCCCTTAAAGCTGTGCTTTCAAACTTTTTTTCTGGTGACCCAGTTGAAGAAAATTGTTGATGCCCGCGACCCAATGGAGCTGGGGATGAGGGGTTTGGGAGTAGCTCAGGGCTGGGGCAGAGGGTTGGGGTGCGGGGCTATGGGGTGTGGGGCTGTGGGGTGGGGCCGGGAACGAGGAGTTCAGGGTGTGGTAGGGGGCTCTGGGCTGGGGCAGGGGGTTGGGGTGCAGGAGAGGGTGAGGGCTCTGTGCTGGGGGTACAGGTTCTGGGGTGGGGCTGGGGATGAGGGGGTTGGGGTGCAGGAGGGGCTCTGGGTTTGGGGGTTCAGGGCTGGGGCAGGGGGTTGGGGTGCAGGAGGGGTCAGGACTCTGGGGTGGGGGTGCAGGCTCTAGGGTGGGGCTGGGGATGAGGGGTTTGGGGGGGCTCAGGCTGAGGCAGTGGATTGGGACGCAGGGTTGGGGTGCAGTCTTACCTCGGGCGGCTCCCGGTCAGTGACGCAGCGGGGGTGTTAAGGAAGGCTTCCTGCCTGTCCTGGCACCGCAGACCGCGCTGTGCCCCAGCTCCTAGGCGGACTTTTAACAGCCCGGTCAGCGGTGCTGACCAGAGCTGGCGCGACCCAGTGCCTTCCATTCCGCGACCCAGTACTGGGTCCCGACCCGCAGCTTGAAAACCACCTCCTTAAAGTGACTCAGAGCGGCCTGATTTCCACTGGCTGCTGCTTAGGGTTACCATATTTCAACACTGAAAAAAGAGGATACTCCACCGGGGGCCCCAGCCCCGCCCCAACTCCGCCCCTTCCCCGCCCCCATTCCAACCCCTTCCCCGCCCCAACTCCGCACCCTCCCTTGAGCACCCCGCATTCCCCCTCCTCCCTCTGCCCCCCGTGAAGCCGGTAGCGCTCGGGCAAAAGACGCTCGGGAGACCCCGAGTGCGAGTGGCTGCAGCAAAACTAACAACTCCCCCGATCTGCGTTGGCACAGAGGCAGCGGGCAGTATGCGAGTGCGCAGCCGCCTCCTCCCCGGGCTCCGGCTGCTGCTGCGCTGAGGAAGTTGCTTCGGCCCCGGCACGCGGTGGAGAGCGGCGGGAGCTGGGAAAGTTGGATCCCGGGGAGGAGGCGGCTGCGTGCTCGGATGCCGCCCGCCGCCTATGTGCCCCGGCAAATCGGCAGATCGCGGGAGTTGTAAGTTTTGCTGCAGCCACTTGCACTCGGGGTCCCCTTACCATGCCTCCCTATTTTCCCGGACATGTTCGGCTTTTTGGAAATTCCTCACGGACAGGGATTTGAGGACCAAAAAGCCAGACATGTCCGGGAAAAGCCGGACGTATGGTAATCCTACTGCTGCTGGGCTCTGAGGTCTCCGTTCCGTCGGCCTCCAGCTGGGCAGAAGAGGGCGAATCCTCACTGAGGCACCAACTCCACTAGCAGAACTGCTGCATCCCCGACCCAGTGACACAGGGCAGGGGTGGGAATAAGAGCCACTATTCGCCCCAGTCCGTGCCGGCCGGGCCACATAGGGTTTAATGCACATCAGGGCCCAGGGTCTGGGACAATGACTCTTCTGGCCATTGTAACCCCCTCCCCACTGGAGCACGCAATAGCCCCTGTCCTGGCTGAAGATGCAGCCCCAGTGAGCCCTGACAGCCCCCACCCTGCCCGAAGAGACTGGCCTGGCCAGGGTGGTTTCCAGGTGCCCCTCAGGAAATCCCCATTTCCTCTGATCTCTGACCCGAGTGAATACGCCCGCGATGGAGCAAAGACAGGGACCCAAACTCGGGGCCGAGCGCAGCCTGTGCTCGCTGTCCTGCTGGAAAAGCGGAAGGCCGCTCCTGGGACGCACCCAGCCCAGCAGCTCGGAGCGGGCAGCTGCAGCAAGAGAGTAGAAATCTCCCTCAAAATTCCTGCTCCCGCACCTCGGCCCCACGGCGGCCATTTCACAGCAGCCTCCACCGGGCCTGGGAAGATGGCGGCTGTCTGCAAAGCTCTGCAGTGGCGGTGAAGTCAGGCTGCCCTCCCTGACGACGGCCACCACCAGCCAGGGGGCAGGGAAGGGGC